TCACCAACATGACATACTATACGACATGAATTCTGTGCCCTCCTCCCACAGCTGATGTCAGTCCAATAATGTCTGACATGAGAGTTGACGTGTGCATTAGGTATGGTCTGAATGAGCCCCAACCATGCTACACACATTGGCTTTCCGACCTCTTGTGTGCAAATATTCGGATGGCTATGTTCTTATACCACCCATTCTTGTGACACATGAGGCTTGTTTGCCTTTTCCTCTTTTCTATTTTGGCCATTGAATGTACCCTGGAAGAGATGAGATGTGGTCACTTAAACCAGCTATCATTCTGATAGCTTATCTCTTCATTTCCTTCATGATGATAACATTCCTGTATTAAGTAAAATAATAATGCACAAAATACTCCAAATACTACTATTTTATACAAGGTCACAATGATTTTCTTCTTCACATTTCAAAAATGCTCACTTTTTTTACATAAGCCTGGTCTTACTGACATGACAGACTATAGTGTAGCTAAATGAAGTGTGCTGTTGCTTATGGTAAGGCAAGTAGGATTTTGAGCTTTACTTATAGAAGCATTGAATATAAATCTAAAGAGGTTATTTCATTGTGTAAGTCACTGGTTATGCCTCATTTGGAGTATTGTTTTCAGTCTTGGACTATTTACTTTATGAAGGATATTGAATTATATGAAGGGGTTGAAAGAAGAGCTACTAGGATGATATATTGGATGGAAAGGTTTCAACATATGAGGACAGATTAAGATCTCTGAAATTTGTTCTTATCAAAAAAGAAAAGGTAAAGAGGATCTGATTGAGGTTTTTAAGATTATTAAGGGAACTGATTTTAATGATGCATCATTTTATATATGTATATAGGTCCAAGTGTGCATGTCACAACTTTTCACAGTGTTACATTCAAAATTTAATTAAATTACTTTATTATAAATACATATGAATACACTTGGTATCAAAACATAGTTAATAAATCAAATTTTAATATTATTTAAGTTTTAAGTTCTTAATTTTATAATGGAATATTCAAAGAAAAACCTCAATCTCCCCTAGTATGATAACTGTGATGTTTGTATTTTATGTATTCTGTTACGTCTCCGTTTGTTAATTGATTTTCCGTAACTTCGTTCCGACGAAATTTTAACGACACAAGTTCTTTCTTAATAAAAACTGGTTTATTCTTTCCGAATACAACTTTACCGATACACTTAATCTCAATACTCGCGCTAAAACAACACTGTAACGAACGAACGTTAACTTCAACAATACCCTGTGACTGCAGTTCAATTACTCACTATCTATACACACATTACATTCCCCTCTTTTATATACCAGCCTACCCCATATCTAGTAATTACTAGAGCATTCGCCAAAGTACATGATAGTTCTAGAAACGTTGCGTCACAGTAATCACGTGACTCGCTGACGCAACAATTCCCTCTTCTTTAATTTATTTACCACCCCTCCGAGAACTTTGGAATTCAACGTAAATTACTCATTATAATGTAGTTATTGCTCTGGCAAAATATAATTTTTATAGCTTATAATCTTATTTGGTTTCAGAGCCATAAACTAGAAAATGAAACCCGTATTGCCATAACCACCTGCCACATCCTCTCTTTCACAAATTGCCAGTATTTCTCTCTGATGTTTAATATTATATTATCTATAACCAATAGAAAGCTGAAGTTTTAATCTAATAAATAACATATTATATTATGTTGTTTTCTGCACAGATAATTGTCAGTTACTTTTCCAGTTCTATGGGTGTACCTTGTGGTTGCATGTATCCTGTGTGTGGATCTACTTAGCCCTGTCCATTCATTGGAGATCACTTTGGCTGCATCACAGTGGAGTTAATGGTGCAGTCACCGGTTTGCCTGGGCAATCTGCAACCCACCAACTCTACACCCAGTCAGTGTTCTTAATGGTTTCCTCGTATGTAGCACCTCTTACTCATCCATCATAACTCCAGGCCCAACCAAAATTTCACATTTGGCTATCCTACTGGGTGAAGGTACCTGGCTAGTACCACCTGCAGTTGGAAGTGCCTTGAACTTGCTCAATAGATCACCTGATTCTTTAGTGGGTCAAATTGGTGACCCAACTCATACATGACTATCTCCCAGCCATTTTGCTATTCCTCTTCCAGATGTTTATTTGTTTCAATGTTCAGGTCATTTAAACTAAGGATCAAGCATTGAACAATCTGTTCCCAAGGGCATTCTTTCCAGGCAGTGATCTGCCTGAAATGCTTTAGGAACTAGTGTAGTCTTCTGTCACCACACCTAGAACATTGGGGCATAATTTGTTTGACCTCACTGACCTCATTGGGACCTGTGCAGCTAAACAAAGACTCTACCTTACATGATCTCTACCAATGCCAGTTGGAGACATGGCTGATGCCATCAACCTTGGATGGAATAATGCTTGGAGACAGCATTATTAGTCTCAAATTGGGTTCCTCATCATCAAACTTGGATAGAAGCTTCTAAAAGAGAGTTCTACACCATATGGGGGATTAGTACCTGGTTCAAGGCTACGAGCTACTTGGGTAGCTTGTCCTACAGCTCTGCATGATCTCAGGTATCAAAATCTGTTGTTGAGATTTAGGGGAACTTTCAGTACTGAAAGGTATATTCCCCTCCCATGGTTTTCATCTGTAGGTGCCCTTTGTCTCACCTGCCAGGGAAACAACTCTGGTCACCAGTGGTCTAGACCAGAGCTGATGCTGTGGTGCTCTCACAGCCTAGAAGTCCTGTAGAGACTTCACCATGTAGTCTCTGTCTTGCTCGGTTTTATTCCACTTTGGTGACTTTCAGTCATCTGCATATCCTTTTTGCCAAGATTGACTCTCAGGAGTACAGTTTACTCCAGTATTCTGGGTGTTCCAGATATGAGCAAATCCTTCTTAGTCTCAGGTTGCATGCTGACGAATGGCCCTTTGCATCATGATTGGAAGTTTTATGTCCAGTAGAGAGCTTCTTCTTGACTTTAAAATGTCTTTCTTGCAGCTTCCTTTTTCCAGCAATGAACTCTCCCTCTTACATAATTACTTCTGTTCTGTGAATATGCCACTCTCAACTTCTTGAAACTTATTAAATACAAGAAATCGAGCTAGGGCCTAGTATGCAACTCTACTATAAATTTTGTTGTCATTTATTTGTGTCATTTTCATATATAACTGGTATATACACAAATCTCAGATGGGTCCGTTTATAACATCTTGGTCAACCTGGATATTTGTGGAGTAATCTGTATTGAAAAAATTTAGTTTTCTAGTGTATAAGATAATGAGATTGGTCAGATTCTGAAAAAAAACACAAAAAAACAATCTTTATAACAAGTAAGCAGAAAGAAAATGCAGCATATGTACTTGCACAGACAATAAGACTAGCTTCTACTGGATCATAATTAGATGTACAGCTTTCTCTTTCTCAAGGTAGAACTCTATAGTGACACATTGATCTCCAAAAGGAACTGAACTGAAAAAAATGAAACTTTAATCTAACAGGTAATCTCAGTTTCTTTTTCAGTTGACAGCATCACCTTGTGACTTGTTCTCTTACATTTGCTGGCCGTGACATATAAACATTATCCTTTTGCCCAGCAGAGGAAATTACAGACAGTGGCTCTTTTAATACTGATGCATGATTTTACTGGAATATTCCCTTAGGCAGAATAGGTATTATTTATTACAGAGAACAAAGGAACAAGATCACAACAAGTTTAATGGTTTTCTGGACCATATGCTTATATCATTACTGCATAGAAAGTAGGTAAATGAGCAATTTTTATATTACTAAAAGCAGATAGAAAGCACACGAGATGCTTGCATATCACATTTATATCTTTTTTTAAAGTTAATTTTGTCCTTATCTGGATCATACAGATTATCATTAAACACAAAGACTTCCTTTATAATAAAATTAAAGTAATTTCTCAGTGTTTTTAAATATATTTGCATCAAATGAAATTTAACTGGCCATGTCATCAGTAATTAAAGATAACCTTGTGAGATATTATTGGGATTACTTCTGAAAATATTTTTAACAGTGGATACTTATATAAGAAATGATTTAAATATTGTAAATATTGTTATCATTAGTTATTTTATTCTGACTGGCCTCACAAATTTATGATTTATTTCAGCAATAATTCTGTTTTGATCAAGTCAGGTTTTTCCAAAATGTCATTATTTTTTGATATTCATTAATAGTTTTTTTTGTTGAAAATGTGATTCGTGTTATTATATATAATTAATTTCATATCCTGTAATATGTTCTGTGATATTTTCTAATTTTTTATCATTTAAACAAATATGACTTTTTTATTTTTTTGTAGATAGCCATTACTCACATCAGTAACCATTTTTCTCTCACATCCTTTTGCTTTGATAATCATTCCAACATATGTTTTTGACCTTGTAATTTCCTTACAAAAATATTTAAAAACTTATGATAATTACATTTTCTTATAATTTTTGATATATTTTGAAATAACGTGCAGTTTTGAAACAATTGTAACATTGTAATGATTAATCCAGTTTAATTTCAGTGTAGAAGATCAACATGTTTTGTAGTACACTTAGCACTTTTTTTTTCTCATAAAGTAAATCATATTTTTTACTCTGTAGAAGTTTCTTTTGGAAATTTTCTTAGGGAGATGTAATCTAGGCTGACAGATCTATGTAGGTAAAGGTATTTTTCGAAAATATTTATGCATGAAATTGTTTATGGGTATATAACTATTTGTTACAGGGACCTTAATAATGTGCGAGTAACAAAAAACAAATGTGTATTTATGTAGAGAAACAAGTGATTTCACCTAATTCTAAAATTATTAGTTTTATACCATTAGAAGCCACATATTGAGTGATTTTAGCTTGCACATTATCAATTTTAACTTTCATTTTAGTCAACAAAAAAGTTTTACAAATAGTTCAGAAAAATATGCAATGATCTAACATATATGTTTACAGTATTTTGATTTAAATAATTTTATGCTTTACAGTAAGTGCTGAAAGGCCTGTTCATGCATCGATTTGTCAAGTGAAAAAGTCAGATAAAGATGTGTATAAAAAACGAGCTACATGGCCTTTACGTGAATTAAAGATGGTGGATGGGAAAGATGAAAGAAAGGTAATTTGTAGTCTTATGAATTTCTGTTATTACTGAAGAATGCTTCAAAAGATCAATTTGTGTGGTGTTTTATTAATGTTAAGTATTCTTTTATACTCATTTGATGTATACAAAAGTGATCTAGAATGGGTTGTAAAGGTATAGGAGAACTACAAGTATTAAATCACAGCTTACATAGGGTTAGTTCAGTGTGATATTATTCTGAGAGACGTCTGTTATGATACTGAATGGTGACAAATTCTGCATATAAACTTTGAAATGTTAACAATAAGCTTTTATTGTTGCGCGTTGTTCAAATGAGAAGAGTTAAAAAAATTCAGTTTTGTTTACAATACTATATTTATCATTGCTCTTTATATTTATTAATAGATGAATTTTCTGATTTAATAATAAGTGTTTTCCTTAATTTATGTCCATTAGCAAATGTAATGGAATATTTCAATGTTTTAGTGTAATTGGTTCTTTCTCTGTTCCTGTAATTTTACTTGCTTTCTTGTGGGTATGTAACTACTTGTCTTTTTTGGCTTTACAATAATGCTGTTTTAAGTTATTTTGAGAATGGTCATGAGATTGCAAGGATGGGTTTTTCATTTAGTTCAACCTTTGAAACAGCAGTATTAATATCCAACTAATTACTAGATGTTTTATAGATTCTTCAGATATTGCACAGATTTCTCATTATGCTGTACAACTTGTACTTTAAATCAGCATTTCTCAACCTTCTTAATACCTGGAACCAACTTGATGCCTCCCTAAACTGTTGGAGACCACTAAAAATGCGAATACAATGAATATTTTGTCAGTTTTTATTTGTTTGTTTTTGTGAAATCCCACAGACTGGCAAGTTGGTTGTGATGGACTAGTGCTGGTTAAAAACACTGCTCTAACCCTTTTCAGATGGGTCATGGGTGAAAGACCATGTCATCATGTGTATTGACTCGCATTCAAAATTTTATTGAACTACTATTTCATGAATTTATCTCAATAAGTTTAGTATCAAACTGTAGATTATAATTCAAATTTTAGTATTATACCTTTCTCAATTTCTTAATTTAAAAGTAAACATTAAAAGAACACAGTGAAACATCAATTTTTGTGTGTCACGTGATATGGTGAATGCAGCAATTAAATATTTTGATATCAAAATACTAAGTCTATAGTTTCGTACAAATTAGAAACTCAAATTACCAATATTGACAAGCTACAATATAAAATAAGAACCTCTTGTCTTTTCAATTTGCTAAGATATTGCTCATGTAATAAATAATACACAGTGGCATCCTGCCCATCTCTTTCCATTTTTGGAAACATTCCCATATATATACATTTCTATATATGACATGATTAACCAATTGAAAGCTCAGAATGTCCCCTTAGTAGCTTTCTCAGCCATTTTAACATGTTTAGATGCCATCTCTTTCTTTCAAACCAAGATTTCAAGGAGGTAGGTTGTGTCTTTAGTTTCCTCAAAATTTCATATTTTCTTAAACTGAAATACAGCTTAGTTACTTAGCTTGATAAATTATATTGGAATACTGATGTACGGTACAGCAGATATAACTATTTGTTACAGGGACCTTAATAATGTGCGAGTAACAAAAAACAAATGTGTATTTATGTAGAG